CATGGACGCTAGTGCAGCTCTCTATTGTATGTTTGGACTTGAAGATCCTTCCGTTGTGTTGTCTACTCACTTATTTTGTCAAGGTTTACCCGTCACGTCCTTGGTCCCTCTCAGACGGCTGCCGCGCCTGCACCGCCTCCTCATGCCATGTATATTCCTCGAGACTCTGACAGTTCCTACATATTCAAGCCTTGACCAAAGACATCGTCTGAAAGAAATTTGTATCAAATCCGTATATGTAAGTGGCTCGACGTTGGATGCTCTGACCAACTTGGATGCAGCTGTCGGGTGGAGTTACAGGTTTGGGACCAATCGTGGATGAAGTCGCCTAAGGGTGTCCTAGTGGGTCGTTTCCCTAAATTGAAGGAGAGGGGCGTCGAGATTAGTGTCATCAAGGAAACCAAGGACCGCTAATGTAATGTACGGCCTTCCTACCTTATATTTTACTACTCACGTTGGCCAGCCAGTGTTCTCGTTAAGCTCCAAAGCTTTCGTTTGGCATGAACTCGGGGGTGAGGGCTTCAGGGACACATAGTATACAAGTCGTCTACGGTGGACGGGGGTATTGTGATCTTTCCTTCGACACCACGATAGAACCGTGGGTATTGTACATTGCGCTTCAAGTTCTTCTTGGTCTCTAGTTCGGTCTCGCTTTACTTTACATGAATTTGATTTGGGATTTCTTATTCTACTGACCATCTCAAGCAGTCTGCGTAACGTTGAATCTAAACGCAGGATTATTCTCATCAACAAATCCCCAAACGCCCTCCTTCCAGCCTTTCTCCTTCCAAGGATTCAGCTTCGCCGGATACTTCTCGATCACAGGAACCAAACTCGCATCGTGCGCGAGCATCACGAACACGTCATCGTTCGCGTCCAACGCCCCTACCTTCCTAATCGACTCGCGCGACGTCTCAGGATCCTCGTAGAAGCCCTTCCCCTTGTCCGGGACTCCAAGGAACGGCTCCTTGCGGTTTACGAGATCGAATGTGCCGTCTTCGTGATGCGGTGTGAAGTACTCTGCGGAGATGGTGTGCCGGGCGGCTTCGACGAGATGACCGGGGCATGGCTGATGGCGGTGGAGCTGCTCAGTCGGGCGGAGCTGGCCTGCATGGTGGCATGTGTCACCACCTAGGAAGAGGAAGGTCGTGGGAGTGACCCGAGCGAGAGCTGCTATATGCCCCGATATGTGCTATCAGGGCATGTAAGTCGATTGTCCGAGAAAGGAATCACAGAAGGAACATACACCGGGAACATCTATAAGGTACAAGCTTCCGTCGCCGAAGAAATCTACGGCGCGCAATCCTCCAAAAGATAAAGTCGTTCCGTCGAATAGCAAGTCGGTGACCTTGCGACCGCTGGTTGTATGTGTCATTCGTAAGGACGCCGGACCATCAGAAGAACGTGACTGACCTGAAATCGCTTTCGAGTAGGGAGCCATTGGGGTTCGCTGGATAGATATCCCTGACCGTGCCTTGTCCAACCACGAGCTCCGTAGTTGGCGGGAACTTTGACATGTCACCTGTATGATCGAAGTGGGCGTGGCTAAATTGAATCAGCACGCCAAAAGAGTATGTGAATGGCGAAGCACACACCTCCAGATGACAGCTTCGATGCTCTCCAGTGGTATACCAGCTTCAGTCAGCTGGTCCGTGATATCCTTCTCCCCGAAAACCTGCAGAATCTTGTCCTTGACGAGATTCGAGATGGCAGGCGCTGAATTCTCGGGGTCCTTGCGGGGTCCGAGATCGAACATGACGCGTTTCCCCTGATGTTCGATGAGGAATGCGTACATTGGCGGCCCGCGCAAGTCTTCGTGCCCAGGCAGCACCGGCAGCATGAATAGAGATGCAAGTATCTTGTCTTCTGGCGACGAGAGATCGAATACCTTGACGTCGACCGTTGCGGTTGACGCTGGTATGCCTAGATCAGTGTAGGAAGGCATGAGGAAAGCAGTAGGTAGTTGATGTTCTTCGTTGCCACTGGAATCGGACTTTTAACTCTCTCGACGGTGCAGTCTGTCCTGAAACGCGGTGAATAAGGTCCTAACGATAGATTCCTTTCTGACTGTACACATTATCAAGACTTCCGGCCCTTCCCGCAATCTGAACCAGCTGACCTATGTTATTCGTGCATCGTTCAGGAATTCTAATGGTAACCAAGCCGGTCGAACTTCCGAGTTCGTAGTCAGTATGACTTCATCGCCGAGACTTCGATAGGAAAAAGCCGAGAAGAGCGAGGAGTTGCAGCCGATACGGAGGGAACACAGTTCCTTGTTTAGTGTCGTCGGATGTTGTAGGTGTGTCGTCGGCGCGATGTGGACGGAAATCAACAGTGACGCGTCTGTCACATGACCTCAAAATGCTCTCGAAATGGCCTCTCGTCAAGTGTTCTCCGATTGCCCTCCCATGTATATACTTAGTCGCCGAAGAACAAGATACTGGTAATCCTGTGTCACGTCATAGGCACGGCAACCTTATTCGCCTCGTCGTCGCGACTGTTCCCGGTTCCCTGTCTCAACCATGTTCCCTGTCCACCGCCTATCCGTCCCTCTGGTACAACTCTGGCTCGTGCGTCGGCTGTTACTGCCTCCTACGCACATATCAAACAGACGACGGTTCTGTATACGCTCAATGTGGCGGTTGCTCGTATCATTGCGCGTGACTGGAGGCGTTTGGACAGGCCTTGAGAGTGGATGCTCGAACACGTATCACGACGACCGGGCCTTGAGTAACGAGCCACCCGGAGAGGTCCAGCCGCGCGCGGGCGTAAGTAACCCATGGCAGGGTCGTTCGATACGACGAACGAACGTGCGCGACCACATATCAATCTTTCAGTCACTTTTCGCTTCCTCCTATCCCGCCCCATCCCACGAGATCCGAAGTCGTCTGCATCTTCCTGAAACTCCAAGACACACCCGCCTTAATCCCGGACCCCAAATCCTCTGTACATCACGACGCATACACCCCAGGCCCTCTCTCCTACCCACACGACCGCCTAAGCTCGCCCCGAATCCTCCCCACATCACGACGCATACACCCCAAGGCCCCCTCTCCTACCCCCACGACTGCCCAAGCTCATCGACGGCGATCCTTCCAGTTCCAGAAACCCTGCGCCAGGTGAAGAAGAGCTCTATCGTCGCCTCCGACAGCGGCGATCTTACTTGGTGAGCGTCTGTGAACCGGGGGGGTACGATGTTCGGTCGGTGTCGGCTTCGTCTATAAGACGGGAGTGGGAGTCACAGTACGGGGGCGGATGTGGAGTGCGGTAGCGATGATTTGGAGACTTTTCGAAAAAAGGCCGGGCATAGCGGGCTGTCGCTTCGGGCTGCTGTGACGGCAGCGGGCGTCCGACCAAGGGGTAGCAGTGCGCATCGCGAAAACGCGGGTCTCGTTCGCATTTTACTCGAATAGACGACGACGTGATTTCCCACTATGTAGCATATGCCGATCCCGAGGGTGATCGATGCCCCAATTTCGGTCGCGGGCGTTGATACTCCGTCGCTTCGCGTACCCAAAAAGACTCAGGGCGGATGGATGAGGCGTGTTTTCGGATTTCCTGCGGATCGTGATAAGGGGGCCGAGCAGATTCCAGCAGGTCTCGCATGTATCGTTCGTGGGCTTGGTCATACAGAGATGCGTGAGTACGTTCTTCAAGGACAGGGATGGAGAGGCGAGGAGGGGTGGTGCTGCTGGTGGCTGGTGCTACCGCATATACCGGGCGAATCATGCGAACCTGGCGTGTCGTCGACGGGGTTGACGCCGCCTGCCGCGGCATCTACTGTCATGCTTCGGCTATCTTCCAAAGAACTAGGGCTCCGTCATGCTTAAATTGATATGGGAAGGCGGAGGACGTAGATGGGCGGGAGAGGGTTAGGGTGACGGGGGTGGGATGCTGTTGCCAATCGGGGCTGGAGGAGCGAAGGGGAGGCACAATGTTCTTGTATATCCTGCGTTGTCGCCGAGGGGCAGCGTGTGAGCTGTACGGGACGCCCATTCCTTATGTCGCCGAATCCCAAACACATGCGGCGTGACCTGAACCCCTTTTCCCCGGCCTCTGCATCCCACTTTCACCTCTCAAGAACGTCAGCATCGGTTCTTCAGCCGCGCCTTCGTAACGAGCTTCATTCCCGAACATGCCCCGCCACATCAACCCGCCTGCTCTACCTGTCTGTTGGGGCTTCCGAATGATATAGGTAACGCGTCTAGGAAGGGTTACGTGACGGACGGGCGGGCAACTCATGGTCGATGGCCGTGGGTGATCATGAGAGAGAGTCGGCGATGATGCATTCAGCGTCCCCTGGCATGGATAATGGGGACCAGTGGCGGTGGTTTCGAGAGCAGCTGGAGCGAGGGCAGGCGAGACGGCGGAAGGAGTTTGATAGGGTCCGAGCTTGGTGCGAAGGCAGCCTGCGCTGGGCCCTTCTTGCCGGCGAGCTGCTGAGACAGGCTATATTGATCATAGAACTGCATGGGAGATAAGTGAGGTAAGTTTATAGTGATAGGAGCGACAGAATCGTACGTACCATCGGTGAGAGTCACTCGTTTAGTGGGAAACTCAGGGGAAAGGAGTCATTGCGCAGCATAGATGCTTCGTCGTCAACCACTCTCACGGATGTTGAGCCAGCCTATACTAGACAGCGGGATGGGAAACAGATGCGAGGGTTATGGTAAGAGCGAAAGCAGAAGTGCGCGATAACGATAGAGGACGCCGATCGGATGAGGCTCGGTCAAACGGTAGTAGTTCAAGTTGCTCGTTCTCGAGACGGCGGCAGCGTCCAAAGACGTCAGTGGCTGTGCATGCCATATCAACAGAGAACTCACGTGCAATTCAATGCACCTCCCCGTTCGTTCCAATGTTCATGCCATCTGCTACCAGATCTTCTCTCGCTCTCATGATCATTCGACCTGAACTCACTTCAACTTTCGGTCTGCGTTCCTACTCCATTTTCACCACTGCTCGATCTCGCCTGCTACTTTACTCGAAAATCAGAATCACATTCGGGTATGGTGTAACGGCTAACATTGCCGCCTCTCATTCCCAAGAGAGTCAGATTGTGGCCTAAACGCGGCAGCTCGGGGTTCGATTCCCCGTACCCGAATCCCCGCAGTTGAAGCACTTGTTTTGCTCTTTTTCGGTTCGAAATTCTCTGGCCCTGGCCAAGCCCTGGCGTGCATGTCCGAACAAATGATCGGCGAGTCGGATCGACAATACAGAATAGGAACCCAATCAGCACTGCGAGCAATCACCTCGTTGGGAATCGGAATATTGACGTACCGACCATCTCGTATACTAAGACGACGTTAGGTCCAGCTGGGCCGAATGTGGAGGTGTACGCATCGTCATCTGGGGTGGTATCTAAAGTATGTATGTCCATATACCCACCTTCGTCTCTTGAACCTAACAAATTCATCAGCTGGAGCGCCGGCACCCTCCCGTTACCACCCTCCCCACTCCCCACCGCTCTCGCAACCACTCTCGTCAATGCAACTCTCGTCCACTTCTGCCTTTCGCGACCACTCTCCGAGTTCTCGAACATTAGGTCTGAAAGACCCTGGCAGGATAGGGAGGCACTGCCTGTGGGGAGCCCATCGAACTCATCCCATTAGCTGTTGAACGCCGCCATCGCAAACCATACCACTTCCTCATTCTCCATCTTTGGCGTCCATGGCCTTGCCTTAGACCGTCTGCTTCTGTTCGGACTCGTTCCTTCCCGCCACCCACCGCACATCGATCCGTCTGATACTGGCCCGACTTCCTACCATCGAAGCCTTCGGCGGTTCTTCCCTCAATCCGAGCCTCCTTTCCTCCCCGTTCCCGAACAGTTGAAGTAGAACGCACCGTTATCGTCCTTTTTGGCTCAAGGTGCGACAGTCGAACTCGTCCGTAACGGCACGCATCAAGTCATTCGAGATATGGTTTTTCCAGCCACGTTGTATGTCGCGCAGGCAGGAAACATGCGAGGTCGTAGAATGGCGGTCATGGAGTAGAAGCTGTCCGACCGACGGTGGCTAGGTTCTCGCGCACCATACGTAGCGTCGTGAGGTGAACTCCCACGTCGCCTTTCTCGATGCAGAGCTCTTACTGCAGCCTGTGCTGCAGATCCAATCATCCACCGAACCCCTCCGCGACTGTCTCGTCACGTCCCCCACAGGAGCTTCCCAGACCTCGCTCGCAGTAGTCTTGCCGCCGAGCTTCATGGAAAGTGGACCCGGAATTGTCGGCGCGGTCGACGTCTCACCAAGCGTTTCCAGGTTTTCCGTTTCCCCTTTCATTCGACATCAGGGCGGCCCGCAACATCAGCCCATGCGACTCATGGCAGGTTTTTCGACTTCTCGAGCGAGGGGAAGACATTCTGGTAGGGCTGTTCCGCGAATGTTGCCTGGATGGGTTGAGAACGTCGATGACGCGTCTGTAGAGGTGCTGTTCGACTCTCGACCTTCGAGCTGGAGCTAAATGACGGAACGAAGTTTCACTCCGCCGCTGCCGATGTAGTTTGCATCCACGGGCAGGCTGCGAAGATAGCTCACGATCATTCCAACAATGGTAGCGCAGGGTAGATGGAAAAGGAGCTTGTCTCGATCCGTATACTACGACGAATAGATCAAGGATGTATGTCGGACCATGACCACTACCCACCCATCAGCAAAATGCGCAATCTACTTGTCAGCTATTTTTAACTTGTTTCAGCTTTTTGACTTGTTCACAAGCCCGCAAGTTGTAAAAGGACGACAAGTGAAATGTTTCTATCGGAGTTTTAAGTCTTCTCTCTGTCCTGCGGCCCCCCTCTCTGAATCGTTGCAGATTGCTCGACAACCATGACTAGAATGGCATCTTGGCGTCATCCGACTCGGGCTCTGTCACGCTGCCCGTCTCTGAAGCCCCTTCATCGACCTCTCCCGCTGGCGGTGCTCCTTCTCACGCCCGAGACGTCATCAGGAAAAAAACACATGTGTACATACCGGTACATAGTTTTGATAGATCTCGTAGCTTCGTAGGCAAGTCCCCCTTTACGTAGTTGCCGGTAGCTACCACCCAAGGTACCGTAGCTCTCGGTAGCTGTCCATAGCTCAACATCTACGACACCTATGAAAGCTATATACAACTCAGTACTCATTGTAATTTGGCTCAATCCTGGTAGAGAATGCAAAAAAAATCATATTTGGCGCGATAACTACGTGAGATATAAATGTCGTCGTGAACAAAGGAAGGATGATCATCGGTCACGATGAGCCTCGACCAGTCCCCTCCTCACTAGCTCCACCAATACAGCAGTGTCCTAAAAGGAGGATATGCATACCGCTTGCAGCAAGGACGTCGAGTGCCGGAGGCTCGCCGGGGTTGTTGGACATCGCGTGATGTGGTGGGGGCAATCAGTGGCGTGGAACCGGATGAAGGGTGCGGGATCCGGGGACAATGGCTGTCGTTATGAATCGTACATATGGCCGCTTGTCGCTACTGGAAGTGCTGTGTGTCAATAAGTGGGTGATGTGGGCGGCAGCAACACACCGCATGCCTCGCTCCTGGTTGGGGTCTGGTTCGTAACCTCCCTCGTCCGTGGTCCCTGCGATGCTTATGTGTGGTGGGTGCTGGGGAGTGCTGTGGTATATCATTGCCAGGGCAGCTCGTGTGTGTCGAGGGTAGCAAGGTTATAGGGCTGCTCAGCGGCGGGATCAGTATCGTTCGAGCACGAGAGGTGAGACTTACCGGATATGCAAGGTGACGAAAGCACATCGGAAGCTCCTCCAGCTGTTGCCGAGCCTCTCTTTTGTCCCAGAAAAGAACCGACGGTATCATGGAAATCAAGGTGATGAGGTGGCAGGGTACATGGGCTCGAAAACGGTGGATCGCGCCACTCAGGTGGTGCCGACATGGTTGGCAATCAGGATCACGATCCACCTGCTGCCGACAGAAGGCAGGGAGCAAAAGAAGAGGAAGGGGCGGGAGGAGCAACGATGGAGGAAGAACACAACCGGTGGAATGGGCAAATGCGGAGCTGAGTTTCTGTGGGCGGAGCTTGAAATAACTTCGACGAGAAATCAAACGTTGATCCAAAAGCATTGGCCGCCGCGCGACTGATAGTTTTCAAATTAGCAAGGAACAATTGCAACGAGTGGCTCAACGGATGAATGCGTGAGTGGTTCTGGTAGTCGCTTTTTGGAGGTCGCCGGTTCAACTCGATGGGATGGATATTTTTATTTTGCAACACGCGACCATCCTTTATCCCATCATGAGCGCTATGCAACATCGTTCTTCTCATTTTAGGCTGCGAGAATTGTTCTGCAGGCTTATGTACCAATGAGCGTAGATGCTGCTACAGACATGCAGGGTGGGCCACATACTCGTACATAGAGCTACATATTTTGTATGAGAGCTACAAACAACTACCAAAGCTACAGACAGCTACAGACTGCCCTCTCTGTGTCCATACTTTAAGTGTCGACACTGTAGCCATTGCATTTTTCCTGATGGTCAACTGCGAGCTGACCTGTTCCATGAGTGCTCTAAGGTCACGGTTATCTTGATTTTAATGCATCGTTCTCGGCACTGACTGCAGCATATGCTTCTTGAAGAAGCTTTATGCGCTCCACAGACACCTTATCCACCTCCTCCGACACCTCGCGCCATTTCTGATGGCTCTCGGCCAAGTTGTCGCAGTGCATTACCATCATGGCCATAGCCTCCTTCACTGTAAGTCCCTTCAAATTCTGATAAAAATCCTCGAGCTTCGTTGTTGACTCCAAGTTGTCCGATGGTAGTCGAAGTTCTTCCTCTTCTGAATCCGGGGCTGGACTGCTGGAGATGCGACGTTGCAACATCAGGGGAGAATTTTTGGGAGGGATGGATGGGCCAGGAGAGGGTGTGGGGCGGGGGTGGGATGGGTTATAGTTGTGTCGAGCAGGAGGGGCTTTTTTCATGGTGGTATGTATCATCGTTACATAATTTACTGCTTGAAAATTGCTTAGGGTTATGGGGGCTTTTTGACGTTCGTAGGGTAGGGATTTAACCCTAGGGATTGGTAGGGATTGGAGGTAGGGAGAGGTAGGGACGTCCATGAGCCACTGCAGAGGTGTCCGTCTTGGGAATCCTAGATCCCCAGGTGTGAGCACATGTGTTCAGACACTGTACGTGGATGTACAGCAAAGTAGGACGTATCTAGGGTTATGGGGGCTTTTTGACGTTCGTAGGGTAGGGATTTAACCCTAGGGATTGGTAGGGATTGGAGGTAGGGAGAGGTAGGGACGTCCATGAGCCACTGCAGAGGTGTCCGTCTTGGGGATCCTAGATCCCCAGGTGTGAGCACATGCGTTCAAACACTGTCATCTTGGGAATCCTAGATCCCCAGGTGTGAGCACATGTGTTCAGACACTGTACGTGGATGTACAGCAAAGTAGGACGTATCACACAAAAGTATACAGCCAGGTGGCATGTACCGCAACTTGTGTACGTCCATGAGCCACTGCAGACGTCTCCGTCTTGGGGATCCTAGATCCCCAGGTGTGAGCGTATGTGTTCAGACACTGGTTAGAGGCTTAGGGTGTTGGATGTATGTGGGAAACTTAGTGTCGGGACGAGGAGGACAGTTACGAAGTGAACTCTGTTTGCGAGTGTTCTGCGATGTGTGTTCCTTGCCCCCCCGGCTTCGGAATGAAGGTAGGAAGAGTGGGATGAAGCATGATGCTGCAGTTAGGGTTATGGGGGCTTTTTGACGTTAGTAGGGTAGGGATTTAACCCTAGGGATTGGTAGGGATTGGAGGTAGGGAGAGGTAGGGACGTCCATGAGCCACTGCAGAGGTGTCCGTCTTGGGGATCCTAGATCCCCAGGTGTGAGCGCATGTGTTCCGACACTGTACGTGAATGTACAGCAAGGTTTTAGGGTGGGATGAACAACAACCTATCCATATTCTTCCTTCCCTGTGCCGCACAGGGAAGCACCCACCGCACCGCGCAGCGGTGCACCCTCCACGGCCTCGGGGAGGGGGAACCGTCTGCGGTTCCGCTTGCACCGCGGGGAACCGCGAAGAAATGAGCCCGCTAGACGTCTTAGGGTTTAGGGTTATCAGGAGACATTTATTTCTGACTGGGGTGGAAATTAGGGTT